ACACACACATATATATATATGTGTGTGTGTGTGTGTGTGTGTGTGTGTGTGTGTGTGTGTATGGTTGTTGGAAAAGTCATGATGCATTTTTGCAACAAAAAACATAGAAAAAATACATTATGACTTTTCCGACAACCCAATATATGCACACACATATACAAATATATATCTCGTGTTCTCATTATCCATTCTTCTGTTGATGAACACTTCGATTGTTTCTCTGTCTTGGTTACTGTGAATAATGCTGCCATGAATATGGGAATGCAGATATCTCTTTCAGATAGTGATTTCATATCCTTCTTTGTCCAGATCATCTCAATAGGTGCATAAAAAGCATTTGACAAAATACAACATCCTTTCACAATAAAGCCTTGAACAAACAGGGTATAAAAGGAATGTACTGCCATATAGTAAAAGCCATAAATGAGAAACCCACAGCTAACATCACTCTCATTGGTGAAATATTGAAAGCTTTTCTGTAGCATACAAAAGCTCCACCCTTTTACTCCACCTTTATATTTTTGATGTCACAATTCACCTTTTTATATTGTGTACTTATTAACACATTATGGTAGTTATAGTTATTTTTAATACTCTTTTCCTTTAACCTTTATCCTATAGTTAAGTGGATAATACATCATCCTATTACAGAACTAGAGCTTTCTAAATCTGACTGTATACCGGGGGTGCCAAAAAACATGTATACAAGTGGACACTTCGGCCAATGTTGCTCAAGCAGTAGTTCGCCATAATCAGAAATGTCTGGGCACTGATGGTAACCACTTTGAACACCTCTTGTAATTGCAGAAGTCAAATGTGACTTGTATTCATCTTTTGTTATCAGTATATATTGAGTATTACAATTTTAATACAGTTTTCCTTCCTTAAAATGTGTATACTTTTTTTTGGCACCCTCTGTATTTATCTTCACCAGTGAGTTGTATATACTTTCATGTGTTTTCATGTCACTAGTTAGCATCCTTTCATTTTGGCTTGAAGAACTCCCTTCAGCACCTCTTGCAAGGCAAGTGATGAACTCCCTCAGCTTTTGTTTCTCTGGAACAGTCTTTCTTTCTCCTTCACATCTGAAGGATAACTTTGCCAGATAGAGTTATTTTGGCTGGCAGTTCTTTTTCTTTCAACACTTAAGATATGTCATTCCACCCACTCCTGGCTTGTAGAGTTTCTGCTGAGAAATCTGCTAGTAGCACAAAGGGGGTTCCTTTGGAGGATATAATATTTTCTCTGGCTGCTTTTAAGATTCTTTCCTTTTGATTTTTGACAGTTTCATTTTAATACATCTTGGAGAAGTCCTTTTTGCATTGAAATAAAAGGGTGATATACTAGCTTTGTGAACTTGAATGTCTAAGACTCCCCAGGTTTGGGAAATTCTCAGCTATTATTTCTTTAAATAAACATTCTCATCTCTTCCTCCTCATTCTCCTTCTGGAACCCTGATTATGCTAATATTTGTACATTTGATTAAATTCTAGATATGTAGGCTTTCTTCACTTTTTTTTCATTTTTTCTGTTTACCTCTAATTGGGTTATTTCAAAAATTCCTGTCATCTAGGTCACTTATTCTGTCTTCCATTTGGTCTATCCCAATTAAGATTCCCTCTACTGACCTTTTCATTTAATTCATTGAATTTTTCAGCTGCAGAATTTCTGTTTGGTTTTTATTTACTTATTTTCTATCTCTGCTAAATTTCTGATTTTGTTCATGTATTTTTTTCCTGATTTTGTTGAATTGTCTTTTGGGTTTTTTTTTTGTAGTTTATCATTTTCTCAAAACAGCTATTTTGTATTCATTATCCAGCATATTGCAAGATTTTGTGCTTTTAAGCTCACTTATTTGAAGGATTATTATCTTTTGGCAATGACTTTTTTTTTCTTTATGTTGCTTGTAGTTTTATTTTGCTGATTTTGCCTTTGATGGAGCAGACCCCTCCTCAAATTTGTACTAGTTGCCTTCAGATGGAGTAACTTGATCCTGTTATATCTGGGATTCTCTCTGATCTTGTATTTCTATACCTGCTCTGCATTTCTTGTTCCCTTTTGTGGCAGAATTCTTACATTTTTATGTCTTCTCTGGTTCTTAGAACTCACCTGGCTGGCTGCTGGAAAACTCTTCCTTGTTTCCCAGAAGGTGGAGCTATAGCTCAAGTTTCTGATTTTTCTCTTGCCCACAGATCCTGGTTTGTTTTTCTGATGGCACTCCATTTACCCAACTCACTCTTCTGCCAACCTTAGAGCTCATACAAGGAGCCACTGCAGAGTTGGGGGTGGTGTGAGTTTATCACTTGGGGCTTTGGGGGTGCCCACTAGCTAGTGGGTAGATCCTTGGCTGAGGTCCTCTCAGAGGTTTGTGGGTGAAGTCAGCAGGAATCATGTCACTTTAATGCCTCTTGATTTCCTTATCTGCCTCTTTCTCAATATCCTCCCTACCTCCAGTGGTGGCGGTCCCGCTTCAGCACTCTGGGTGTTACTGGAGAGAAATGGGCTCATCCTGAAGCATCCAGCACAGCTGGGGTAGCCGGGCACTCACACACTGCTCTCCTTTCCCCCTGTGGAGAGATCACCACAGGATAGTTCCGTCCTCTGCTGTGTCACCTTGGGGGAAGAGGCAATGCTGGCAGTTTCTCTTTCCTTTTCTGCTGAATCCCAACTCGTTTTGTATGTTTGCTCCAATGGTGTGCTGGAATCTCTACTCTGGAGGGATGGATTTACAAATTCTCTTTCTTCTGTGGGCATCTGCCCAAGTCAGCACTCTAGTTTTTTCCCCAACTGCTCTGGGAAGGTTTGGGGCAGGTTCTCTCTCTGCCTATTATCAGATGAACAGGTGGGCGAGACTCCTCCCAGGTCCCTTGGCATATGTTGTTGGATCATACAACTTCCACAGGGATGCTTTTGTTTATGGATGGGTGCCTAATTAATTGTTTAAAAAAAGGGTGGGATAAGAGGTGGGGATATCTAACATGCCGTGATGCTAATGTCACTCCCTTTCACAGTATTTACATTGTATGTTGATTACTCTTTTATTGACTATTCATGTTTTCTCTTTTCTTTTCTACTCTTCTCCTTGTACCTATGACTTACATTTATTCACATCCCTGTAATACTGGTGGGGGTTTCAGAGAGAAGACGGGATCATAAGCATATGCATTCAATATGTTATGTTTAGACCGATAGAGACTTTTTGAGTATAATTTAGAATACATTGTACTTCAAAATGCCTATGCCCTTTGATGTAGCTGTTCTATTTCTAGATAACTAACCTGTAGAAATAATTCTGGTGTGCATAAAGAGATGGATACAAGGACACAAGGACATTGACTCTAGCATTGATCATAATAGTGAAAAATTGGAAGCAATTTATAGGCTATCAATAAAGAAATGATTGAATAAACTTTGATAGGTTTATGCTACAGAACACTATGCAGCAGGCAAAAAGAATGCTGTTGACATATCTGGAAATCTCTCTAAGAAATATTCTTAAATTTGAAAAACAAATATGTGTCATATCTGATCCCACTTATATCCTTTAAAAACCCACAAAACAATGAGTATTTTAATTCATACTTATCAGTGAATATAGATTATGGAAAACTAAATTGTTCATGTCAATCGTGGGTCCTGTCAGATTGACAATGCCCTGTGACTCAAAGCTAGGCATGTCACCATGTTCTCACGCTTACCTACAAAGAGAAAGCTGTTCACCCAAAGGCTTCCATTCTACTGAGTACATCATACAGAGATCATCACAGGGCCCACTAAGCCTATTCCTCATCAACAGAATGATTGTTTTTTCTCACCAAGAAAGAGCTCAAATTCCTTACCCACAAATTAACTTGATGAGGTCATTTCAAAATGCCTACCTTGGCTTTCAATCTGTGATTGTATAAATTATCTATTGCTGCATAGCTAATTACTTCAAAACTTAGTGACTTAAAACAATATACATTTATTATCTCTCAGTTTCTGTGGGTAGGGAATCTGGGTTTGGCTTGGCTGGGTTTTCTGATTCAAGGTCACCCACAAGGTTGCTTCAAGGCCAGGGCTCTGGTCAGCTCAAGGCTTCACCAGGGAATGATTGACTTCTAAGCTCAATGACATGGCTATTGGCATGATTCAGTTCTTTGCAGGCTGTTAAGCACAGGCCACGCTCAGTTCCTTGCTATGTGGGCCTCTCTGCGATGTAAAGCCAGCTCACAACATGGCAGCTGGCTTCATCATAGCAAGCAACTGAGAAAAGCTAGAATGAACATGAGCAAGTTGGAAGCCAGTCTTATGTCCCCTAACCTTGGACCTCTCCATCACTTTTGCCACATTCCATTTGTTAGAAGCAAGTCACTGGGTCCAGCCCTCAAGGGGAAGGGCTTGCATAAGAGTGAATACCAGGACTTGGGGGCTTCTTAGAAGCTGCCTACATTTGTTAACAAGGCCTGTGATAGTATATTTAGAATAAAAGAGACCATTGTCCTTGGTTTTATTTATAAATTTGTCATGAAGAAGAAGGAGAAGGAGAAGGGAAAGGGGAAAGGGAAGGGGAAGGGGGAGAAGGAGAAGAAGAAGCTGCCTACAACTGTGGTTAAAAGTTTATTCAAGGAGTTGTGGGTACAAATTCAGAAGCAAAGATTTTTCTAGTATAGGCAAAAATAGGCTTTAGACAGATGCATCTCGTAATCAGGTGACATGTAAGCATAGTTGCTTGCTTATAATAGGTGCTATTTTTCTTTTAACTTTGGATTTTGAAATAATTTCAAATTTAAAGTTGAGAGAATAGTAGAGGAATCCCATACATCCTTTACCCAGATTTGCCATTTGTGAATAGTTACATTTTTTAATACATTCTGCAGTTTGTCACATGGGAAGGCACTATTTGTAACCATCAACGCTTTGGGGTCTGGTGAGAGAGGTCCAGGTAGGCTGGAGTCATAGTCTCTCTCTGCATATGGAGTTGTCCTCTCTCAAATGCTCTCTTTTGCCTCCTCCTCCAGAAAACCCTGAGCGAGCAGCTCTGTACTTTGTTTCTGGCGTGTGCATCGGGCTGGTCCTCACCCTGGCTGCCCTGGTGATGAGGATCTCTTGCCACACGGATTGCCGGCGGCGTCCCCGGAAGAAGTACCTGCAGGACCAAGACAGCAGCAGCGACAGCAGCGACAGCGAGGATGGCAGCTCGGACACAGCATCTGACATCTCTGTCCGGAGACACCGCCGCTTCGAGAGGAGTTTGAATAAGAACGTGTTCACATCTGCAGAGGAGCTGGAGCGCGCGCAGCGTCTGGAGGAGCGGGAGCGCATCATCAGGGAGATCTGGATGAATGGCCAGCCAGAGGTGCCGGGGACCAGGAGCCTGAACCGCTACTATTAGGGGCAGGACTGCTGGAAGGCCCCCGGAAGGGAGAGGGGCCTCAGGGAGGGTCGGCACAGAGAGCTGAACGCAGTTCTGCTAAGGTTACTGCTGGCTCCTCTGATAAGCAGAACCACCCCCGTTGTCTCCTTTGTGATGAAATTTATGGAGCAGTAGAAAAACCCAGTTGGTTCATCATCCTTTCCAGGCCTTGGAATGGTGCTGAAAAACCCTCTCCCACCATGTGGATGGAGAGTAGAGAAACAGGACTATGGTTTCTCTTGATTTCTGAGGATCTCAGAGTTTCTACAGACTTCATTGCTATGTGTTATTCCTTTACAAAAGGAAAGGTGGTCATAGCGTGAGGGCGGCTAGGAACAGCAGGGTGAACTTAACCCAGTAAATGCAATTTTCTAAGTGACTCCATGCTGTGGAAGTGGTTCTGATCCAAATAGCATGAGCCATGCTTATTATTTAAGGCTGATTTTTAAAAATCTTGTGTTGCAATGGCAACCTCGTCCATTTGAACTGGCACCTCAGGGATTAAAATCCAATTTTTAATATAGTTCCCACCTCATTCATGAAAATGAATAGAATTAATGTATTATGGGAGATGTGTCAGTGAACTAGACAATGACAGTAACCTCAAAGGATGAAGGGTTTTATTTTAAATAGTTTATAAGATATCTATTAATATGCATGTTTGAACATGCTGCATAAGAATAAAAGCTGTGTTTTTTTTCCCTTTTGGAGACAAGAAAATTTTGTTATGACTCTAGATAATCATGATTTCAAACATTTTGTTTAAAAAAGAAAAATCCAAGTTTGGATTGCCTAGAAAAGAATGGGAATGGGAGGTGAGGAATAAAGCCAAAATTAGGATGGGATAAAAAAATAAATGTTGCATAAAATCTTTTTTGTTTCATGTCTGTCTCTCTGGTTACCATAAACAGCAGCCCTTTTATATATGTGCACTTGGCCTTTTGTCAGGACTTTCAAATAATTGGAGAATTGGAAGAGGAAAAACTGGGGAATGGAGAAATGGCCCTGGTGTGACTAGGGACTTTTCATTTTCTTTATGTTGTATGTTATGGTCATAGTACAGCTGAGTGATTGTTAAGCAGATAGAAAAATAGAAGACTTACCCAAAGCTAGAAATAATATGGTGGCCCCATATGGAGAGGGGAAGTTGGTAGGGAAGGAAGAGAGAGAAACAGGGCTGCACCACATTTAGAAATGGGTTACAGAGGAGGAAGCAGCCTCCAGCCTAATAGGACAGAAATAGTGAGTTTTATCTGTCAGCTCCCTTCTCTTAGCCTGTCCGGATACTCCAGAGCCTGCCTACTGGGAGGGTCTCCCTGTCCACTGGCTTTGACACCATGGGTGAGAGGATGGCCGGGAGATGGCTGGGGTCTCTACTACTTTAGCAACCTACTCCCTCAGATAGGGGCTTGGAGGACTGTTTTAAGATGTGAACAATCACAAATCTCTACTTGCCAAGGGGGCAATACAGTTTGCTTGAAACCCCCACCGGCTGGCCTCACCTTTTGGGGCAGACTCATTGACTGTAATAACTGCCAAAAATCTTGTTAAATCAGCGTCTCTGAATCTGGGTTCCCACCCTTGTGGTTTCAGTCCCTTGACAGCAATTCAGGAATCATCCCACTCCCCTGGGCTTTAGATGAATACTGTCTATCTTGGTCTCTGTTTCTTTGAAAAATGAAACTTCAGGGAGCTGCCTTCATCCATCCCCAGGATGCATCCAAAGCAGGCAACAGGGAGGGATTTGATCCCCATGGCGGGGACTATGGGACTGCAGTGGGGGAGGTGTTTGGGAAGGTTCTGGGACACGCTGCTTTCCCAATTCTCATTCCAATATCCCAATACCTTTCTACCAAGTTCATGAAGTTCCCATTTTTAGGGTGGTGAGGGCTTTGCCTGAGGCACAAAATACAGTAGGTAACAGTTTAACCCAGTGCTTCACTTCCATATACCAAGGATTCTAGCTTTTCAGCCAAAGATAGGAACACCTCCAATGTTACCTTCTCTATCTTGACTCAAGCAGTTTCACATTTTAGGTAACTCTGCAGGATGTGCCATTTTTTATGGAAAATCCACTGGAAGTGGCTTAGATGAGCCCCAAGTTTGGATGGAGTGGGGTTTCAGGAATCACAAGGACAAAGCAAATGGTGTTAGCAGGGTTGATGGAGATTCCAATATGGGGCCCACCTGCGTCTGCACATAGGGTGCAAGGGAGGGTTCAACAAAGGAACAAAGGCTTCTGCCAGCACTTCTGTCTGAGAGAAAGGTGCTTCTCCACCTTGAAAGGTGCCCTCACCCTGAAGCCAGTTCATTCCCATATGTCCCTGATGCCTTTTGAGCAGCTACTCTAGCACTAAAGCTCAGGGCGAGTAAGCCCGTCAGCGAGTAAGTCTATCTATGTGTGCACCTTTTAAAATGAATGCCTGGGACTCCAGAAGCCCTCCATGTCACTCAGCCACAACCTCCTCTGGTTTTCACAGCCAGAAGGTGTGGGGACTTCTCTTCCCAGCACTGGAAACTTGGGCGGGGAGCCTGGTGTGGGGCTGTAACACCTCACTCCTCAGGACAGGATCTCTGCAACCAAGGTATCCCTCCCAAATTTTAACCACCATATATGGGTGTGGGGCCAGCCCTTTTTGCATCTTTGCCCCTTTTATCAGTCTCTACATAGCTTCTTTATATCCTTAGTTATAGGACTTACGTTCAGCTAGACTTCAAATGGTTCTCAGTGATTGCTCTTAGTTCAGTTGTCATTTTGATGTGGTCGTGAGAGGAGGCAAGCACAGTGTTTTTCTACTCTGCCATCTTGACCGGTTATGCCACTAAGTTTTGAGAGGTGGTTTGTTACACAGTACATCACTGTACAATTCTTCAAACTGCATTCACTTTCTCCCACACCTACTGCTGTATCTATGTTTTTTATAGGCATATATTTCTTTGTCAGTTCATGACAAAACAAGTTACAGGGTTGCCCAAGTCAGAAGCCTGGGACTGATTCCAGGTTTTTTATTTTCCTTTAAACCTCACATATAACTAAGTTAACAAATCTTCCCAATTTTAAGTTATCTATATTTCTTGCATCAGTCTTTCTTTTACAACCTAGTTCAAGCCCTTATTATCTGGACAACTGTAAAAACCTTCAAACTGTTCTCCAAGTGTTGCCTCCCTCAGCGTCATCCTGAATATTGATACTACAGTGATTTCTATTAAATGTGTAGCTCTCCATGTGTCTATCTCTCTTTTAAACCCCTAGTTTCTCCTGTTGCTTATTTAAAATGTCCAAATGCCTCTAAAGAGCATGCCAGCTCCCCATGAAGGGCCCCGAAGCTTCATGACTCTTGCCCCTCTGTGCCCATTTTTCACTCAAACAATATTCAATTGCTTATGGTCCTCTTCCACACAGAATGATCTATTCATATCGTTGCTTTGCCTAAAATATCTTTTCTCCAATCTCTTTCTCCCCCTCTTCTACTCACCCTAAAGGCTCAGCACAAGAGTTTCAGACTTCCACGCCTTCTCCAGGCTGCGCTACATATCATCCTCTAAGTTTTCACATATCCTGTGCTTGCTATGATCATTGCTTTCATTACCTTGTTGTGAAATTATCCATCTGTGCCTCAAAGGCAGGGAATCTATTATGTTTATCTTGGGTCCCAGCAGGATGCACAGAGCTTGTCACATCATATGCTTTCAGCAACTATTTATTGAACTGTAGTAAAGACTATGGTGTATTCACCAAACACTCTTTCTTCTGCCTCTTGGGCACATAAATGGACTGCATTTCCCAGTCTCCCTTGTAGTTTGATGTGGCCATGTGATCAAGTTCTGCCCAATGGACTGTAGCAGGCTTCCCTAAATGATATTTGTATTTTGAATTTGCCTTCCACATGACCCCCTATACTCCCTTTCTCCCTATGTGCTGATTTGGTGCACTAGATCAAGCAGAGAATTCTGTGGCTTAAGGGGATGGTGGAACCATAAAATAGAAAGACCCTGGGCTTCAAATGGCCACACAAAAGACCACCCACTGACCAGGAACTTGTACATTGTGCTTTGTGTGAGTAGAGAAATGTTGATGAAATTAATTCCTGGAGGACTCTTTGAGTCGCTGGTTCCAACTCTCTGTTTCTAGATAGGCTTACTCCTAACTCATTCTTCATGAGTAAAATTGATCCTAAATCTTTAGAGGGAATTCTATAGGTCAGAATAACACTCTTATTTTGGGAACCATTTTCCTTTACTACTTCTAAGTTCCTTTTTTTTTTTAATCTAATATACATATATATTGTGAAAGAATGACCACAATAAGATTAGTTGACACATCCTTCATTCACATTTACAATCTACTATCTTAGCAAATTTCAAGTATACAACACAGAATTGTTAACTATAGTCACCATGTTGTACATCAGATATGCAGATGAATATAAGATATTTATCTTATAACGGAAATTTTGTACTTTGACCAACATCTCCCCATTTTTCCCACCCCAAGCCCTAGGAACCACAAATCCACTCTATTTCTATGAGTTCAACTTTTTTGGATTACAAATATAAGTGAGATTATGCAGTATTTCTATTTCTCTGTCTGACTTATTTCTTAGCATAATGCCTTCAAAGTTTACCCATTGTTGTCACAAATGGCAGGAATTCCTTTGCATGGCTGAGCAATATTCCATAGTATATGCCACATCTTCTTTATCCATCAGTGGATGCTTAGGTTAATTCCATGTCTTTGCTATTGTTAATAATGCCGCAATGAACATGCAGGTACAGATATATCTTTAAGATAGTGACTTCATTTCCTTTGGGTATATACCCAGAAGTGGAATTGCTAGAGCGTATGGTAGTTCTATTTTTAACTGTTTAAGGAACCTCCATACTGTTTTCCAAAGTGGCTATACAAGGTTCTATTCCCATTGACAGTGCACAGGTTTTCCTTTCTCCATATTCTCATCAACACTTATCTCTTGTCATTTTAATAATAGTCATTCTAACGGTGTGAGATGACATCTTATTGTGGTTTGGATTTGCATTTTCCTGATGATTAGTGATGCTGGACATCTTTTTCAGGTAACTGTGGCCATCTGTATATCCTTGGGAAAGAAAATGTCTATTCAAGTCCTCTGTACATTTTAAAATCAGATTATTTATTTGTTTGTTTGTTATTGAATTATATGAGTATTTTAGATATTTTAGACATTAACCCCTTATCAGTTATATGATTTGTAAATATTTTTTCCCATTCCATAGGTTGTCTTTTTATTTTGTTGATTGTTTTTTCTGTGTAGAAGCTTTTAGTTTGATGTATGTAGTCCCACTTGTTTCTTTTGTATTTTGTTGCTTGTGCTTTTAGTGTCAAATCCAAAAACTCATTGTCAAAACCAGTGCCAAGAAGCTTTCCCCTATGTTTTCTTCTAAGAGTTTTACCATTTCAGGTCTTACATTTAAGTCTTTAATCTTGAGTTGATTTTTGTGAATGGTATAAGATAGGGGTCCAATTTCATTCTTTTGCATGTGAACATCCAATTTAACCAACACCATTAATTGAAGAGACTGTCCTTTCCCTATTGAGTATTCTTGACTCCCTTGTGAAATATCACTTAATCAAATATGCCTGGGTTCATTTCTAGGCTCTTGATTCCATTCCATTGGCCAGTACCATACTGTTCCAATTACTATAGCTTTGTAATATAATTTGAAACCAAGAAGTGTGATGCCTCCAGCTTTGATTTTCTTGCCCAAACTTGCTTTGGCTATTTGGGGTCTTTTGTGGTTACATATGAATTTTAGGATTTTTTTTTTTAAGATTTTATTGGGGAATTGGGGGAGGGGAAAAGCGCTGGGAATTGGAGGAAGGGGAACAGACAA